AATACAAAAATTAGCCAGGTGTGGTGTCACACACCTGTAATCCCAGCTACTCAGGAGGCTGAGGCAGGAGAATTGCTTGAACCTGGGAGGCGGAGGTTGCAGTGACCTGAGATTATGCCACTGCACTCCAGCCTGGGCAACTGAGCAAGACCCCGTCTCAAAAAAAAAAAACGAATGGAATTGGAATGTTTCTAACGTAAAGAAACGAAAAACACTTGAGGCGATGTCTCTAGATAAATCTCTAAAACACATTACAGACTGTTAACACGTTTAGAAAGAGTAACTACTATTAAATTCTGGAATCAGATATGGGTAGTCACCTTCATTTCCAAAGGCTCAAAAGAGAATAATGAAGATGACATCAGAAACTTAGTTGGGACTTGCAGTACTGAACCACCAGCAATGGATATCATATCCCAATACTTCCTATGGATGTGAAATGGAGTTAAATCTGAAGATGTTCCATTATTTACAGTAACAGTTTTAAAATTTCTGGCACTATAAGTATAGTGGGATGACGTATGTGTCCCACAAAAAGATATGTCTAAGTCCCAATCCCTGGTCCTTGTAAATGTGACCTTACTTGGAAATAGGGCCTTTGCAAATATAATTAAGGTTCTCAAGAAGAGATTATCCTGGATTTAGCGTGGGTCCTAAAACCAATGACTGGTGTCCTAAAAGACATGAAAGGTAGACCTGACACATACAAGAAAGAACCTGTGAAGATGGAGGAAGAGACTGAAGTTATGCTGTCATAAGGCAAGGAATGTCTGGAGTCAACCAGAAGACTAGGAGAGGAAGGATTCTCCCCTAGAGCCCATGGAGACAGTGTGGTGCTGCCAACACCTTGATTTCAAAGTTCAGGATTCCAGAACTGTGACAGAATAAATTTCTGTTTTAGGCCACCAAGTTTACAGTGCTTTGTTACAACATCCCTAGGGATCTAATATAGTAAGTTTGGCAATTATTTATTGTTGCTCTGCAATGGTCTAATGCTATTAAAAATATTTTTAATTATTAGGGATACATCATAGTTACATTTATTCATGTTGTACACATGATACTTTGATACAAGCATACAATGTGTAATGATCAAATCGGTAATCAGGACATCCATCGCCTCAAGTGTTTTTCGTTTCTTTGCGTTAGAAACATTCCAATTCCACTCTTTTAGGTATTTTGAAAGTCTAACACCATTTAAAAATATTATAGCCTAATGCTGGGAAACTGCAGCCCCCATTTTCATGGCCAACTCAGGCTATTTCTGCAGAGCCTTCTTGAAATATACATGCAATCTAGTGAAAAAGCCCAGAATATAACTGAACTATGTAAATTTGTACTTTATTATTATATAATACACTCATTCATGATACATTAGGTCTGTTCAGATCACAGTAAAGATGTGCAATATGCCCTCAATATTTTTTTCTCCAAAGACAGAGGTGAGCAAGTGGATCTCTGGAAGAGGACGCGTACTCCCAAGCACCACGAAGTCATTTAGAACAGATCTAGTACAGCTGTTTTAGCAGCATGTCCTGTTATTGCTCTTCACCTCTATTACACAAATGTAGGCCTTCTTTATGACCATTTCCAAAAAATAAAATCAATAAACATTTAAAAATTCTACTAGTGTAATGCATACATATATTTAAATGGAGTTTCTTTAATATACTACCTTTGCTGGTCACAGCAATTTTTTAAACATGCATTCACAATGCATACAAACATTATTGATTATGACAAACAACAAAATGGTAACAACAAAAACCTGTATTAATTTCAAGCTCCATTAGAAGCAGAAGGAAATAGAATCAATGTTTACCAAATAGAAAAGGACAATGTATACATGGGAAAAATGCCTTTAAGCTTAAGTAATGCAAACAATGGATGGTACAAAGTCCTGGACAGCATCTGTCAAAGAATGCATCAGCATTTTCTTTTTATGAACGGTACTGTAAATGGCCTATAAATTGACATAATAATTTCTCCTCTGATTGATAGCACATGGAATTAGGGTGTATTCTGACCTCAAAAAAATGCATTGATTGAAAAACAAAAGTTCAATTACAAAAGTCCATCAGATTTATGATATGTGAATTATATCTCAATTAAGCAATTAAAATAAATGAAAAAAAAAAAAAAAAGTCCATCAAATAGTATATCTGGCTTTTGTAAAGACAAATCACTGAAAATGTCCAAGTTTACTCTTCTTGGATAACCAACACTATAAGGAGAATTAAGAGGAGGATCACTCTATGCCAAGAATGCAAGCTGGCTTGGCTCTTATACTTGGTTACTAAACCAGAAGTCAGGGAAGGATATGTGTATAGAAGTTTAAGCATATGTGGCTCAGGTCAACTGAGCCGCATAGTATCACTTAAAATCTCCAATCCCTATTGATAAAACAGAGATCCCCCAGATCAAGCCAAAGCTAAATTTTCTCCTTTACGCCTTTGCTGGCAAGAAGATGAAGTCAACAGAGGACTTATTTCAAAACTAGTAACCCTTAAACTTTTACTTCAGGTATAGATGATCAATTCCTAATTAATCAAAAGTTATCTTGGACTGACCATTTTGCATATCTGAAGCTACTCTGGAACAGCACAACAAAGAGGTGAGATTTTTTTTTGAGACAGAGTCTCCTTCTGTTGCCTGACATGATCTTGGCTCACTGCAGCCTCCACCTCCTGGGTTCAAGTGATTCTCGTGCCTCAGCCTCCTGGGTAGCTGGAATTCCAGGTGCANGTTACCCAGACTTGAGTACGGTGCCATGAACAGGAAGGACTCACTGTAGCCTCAACCTCCTAGACTCAAGTGATGTTCCCGCCTCAGCCTCCCCCTGTAGCTGGGACTACAGGCATGTGCCACCATGCCCAGATAATTTTTTATTTTTGTAGAGACAGAGTGACGTAGTTTGAATATATGTCACTGTCAAATGTCATGTAGAACTGTAATCCTCAATGTTAGAGTTGGGGCCTGGTGGGAGGTGACTGGATCACAGGAGCAGATTTCTCATGAATTGTTTAATACCATCCTGTTGGTGCTGTCCTCATGACAGTGAGTTCTTATACGATCTGGTGTAAGTGTGTGGCACCTGCCCCTCACCACCACTCTTTCTTGCTCCTGCTTTCACCATTTGATGTGCAAGCTCCCACTTTGCCTTTTGCCATGAGTAAAAGCTCCCTGAGGCCTCTCCAGAGGCAGATGCTGGTAGTATGCTTCTGGTACAGTCTGCAGAACTGTAAACCAACTGAACCTCTTTTCTTTATATATTACCTAGTCTCAGGTATGTCTTTATAGCAATGTAAGAATGACCAAATACAGGGGGTCTCACTATGTTGCCCAGGCTGGTCCTGAACCAGGCTCAAGCAATCTTCCCACCTCAGCCTCTTACCACACAGGGATTATAGGCGTGAGCTACTGTGCCTGGCCAAGAGGTAAACTTTTGAAATGGAAGCATCCTTAATCTCAAAGTTCAAAGATTTCCCAGTGGTACAGGACCAAAGCTCTGATGTGCTCCTTCCAAATTAAGAAATTCTCTTTGATGTAACTGAGCGTACACAGTTAGAAAACCATCTAGTGGCAGTGTTGAAGGAGGGTATTCTTCCATTAAGCAGAAGGTTAGATGAGATGATCATTATGACTCAATATATTTATAAACCTGTCAATAACTTAAGGTAAAAAAATGGAGTATCACATCACTGGAGATGCATGAAGTACATCACAAAATGCTGCTAAGTATTCCAAATGCCTACTCCACGAATATCAAAGAAAATGTAAAAAAGAGTTTTACATTTCTTGGTATTTTCAACATTAAACAAAAAACCTTTCACCAAGTGCCATTTCGTTCCACATTATTAGGGATGTTCCCAGAATATATGGTGATTATTCATCCCAGTTATAAGTATTTGTTAATAGCCTCAAGCGGTTGTAAGGGGGAGGGGGACTAAAACTTAAAAAGAAGTTTAAAAAGTTAAGTATACATGCCATTTTAAGATTACGTGGAAATGAGAAGGTATCTGTAAGTTGACAGGCAAATATGATTTAGCATATAAAACTGGAAAAACTGGATTTCCATACTTTGGGAACATACCTGCAATAGGAAAAAATATCTATAGTTCTTCAACTCTCAACTCAAAAGCAGTTTTAGGTTTATAAATTGAAAAAACTGCAGTAGAAATGTAGCCATTAGATGGATTAAAATGCTTCTTAGAAAGGGTACTGGGGTAGAGTATTCATTCAAATTGAGCCCAAATAATATTGCCCATTTCTAAAATTTGCCTCTGCAGGAGGCATCCTTTTGTTTTCAGGTAAATCAGTGATTTTAAAAAAAAAATGGTGCCCCACTGTCCCTTCACTCTAATGCAAATGCAATGTTCCAATTCCTCAAAACTCAACAGACTGTGAGTTTTTTTCTTAACAATTTTATGTCAGTTTCTGATTAGATTAAAACAGCTATCAATTGCTGGTGGCATATTTGGTTAAATGAGACTGGAGTGCTCTATTAGACCATTTCCTGGTGCCACTAATGCAGCCAAACACTTCTTGGAAATCATTGAGTAGGTTTCAGTAAATAGTACTCTAAGTTTTCCCCAGCCCTCTGCCAACCAATACAAGCAAGATGTAAAAAAGAAATGTGGAAGACGAATAGTAAAATTATTTGAGATCTAGCAAAGAAAAGCAAAAGAAACTTGCGACTAATGTCTCTGAGCCTTGGATTAAGCCCAAGGAAGGAAGAGAAATCTGTTCTCCTAATTATAATAATCTAAAAAGTGCAGGTTGGAATTGCTTTCTTAAATTCAGCCACACAGAGAGCTCTGAAAATAACCCAGTGTTTCCCACTATACCTCCAAAGCTGAATCTACTGTTCTCTTAATATCTGAGGAAGAAGAAAACTAACAAAGAAAACTGAAATTCCTTAATCAGCTGGTTAATAAAGGGCCAGGTTCTTCAGCCTGGGTTAAATGCTCCAGGTTTCACCTATACTTGGAAGTCCTTACCTGAATGTCTGTGTCCTTCACAGGCTCGAGAGGCTCAAAGGTGGTGGCTGCACTCAGACTCTCAAGTCGCTGGGAGATGTGGGATATGTCAAGTCCCCGAGACCCGAGGAGAACAGACCTATGTGAGGATACAGAATAGGGAGATATAAGAAAGGGGAAAAGTAGGATTAGGACATCTAATATGCTTCATCAAATACTGGAGAGTATTTTTAATTCAAAACTTCCTATATACTGTCCAGACACTTTTACATAGCTGTTTTATATCTTTCCATAGATATCTATGACCTGGACTAAGAGCCACAACACTGTACTTTGTAGTAACAGATTTAAGTTCTAATCATGCCTGAATTTGAGTGAGAGCCTTGTCTAGAATAAAACAATATTACTACCATAGGCTAGGCTTCTCCAAACACTTCATAGTAAAGAAAACCATGAGGTACATGCTATCATTCATCCTCAAATTACGAATGAGACAACTAAGGTACAAAGAGGTTAACCAGCTTGCCCAAAGTCACAGAGTCAGGAAGTGGCAGAGGCAGGTCATCTAGTTCTGTGGCACAACTCCTTGTTTTTGTTTTTTTGTTTTTTGAGACAGAGTCTTGCTCTGTCACCTAGACTGGAATACTGTGCCACAATCTCGGCTCACTCCACCTCCACCTCCCAGGTTCATGTGATTCTCCTGCCTCAGCCTCCCAGGTTGTACAGCACGACACTTAACTACCATCCTACACTTACAGCCTCTATAGATAGATACCGTGAACTACAACATTGTAGAAGTTTCAGAAGTAACCTGGTACAATGTCATTCATGAACTGAGGAAACTAAGGGTTCAAGGTGATCAATGATTTGTCCAGGGTCAATCAAACCAGAATCCAAGGTCAGTTCTCCATGGCTTCCCTTCAAAAACCAAACACCATGTCCAGTACGTCTGCAGGTTCCCTCTCTGCTGCCCAGTCTAATAATATAGGAGGCTGTTATCTGACCAGTAAATGCTTTTGAAGAGAAATGGGAATAATATAGCCAGCTTTATTTCTACTCATCTGGGGCAGTGTAACAATGCAAGAGTTGTTTTTCAAAGAAAAGGTCGCACTACTATCTAGAACACTCTCTGGAAAAAAGAAACTGAGGGGAACTCAATATTTTATTTTAGTATTTATTTTATTATTTTTTTAAATTTTATTTTATTTGAGACAGGGTCTTGCTATGCTGCCCAGGCTGGCCTTAAACTCCTAGCCAAGTGATTCTCCTGCCTCAGCCTTGAAAAGTGCTAGGAATACAGGTGTGAACCACCACATACAGCCCAATTAATTTGTAGACTGTTTTTGGATTATAAATTAGTACTGAGAACTCCCATCATAACATTTGTGTTCACTTGCAGTAACTTAGAAGTAGTTAGAGAATTTGGCAGCACATGTAACCGTAACACCTACAGGTATAACACCTGAAATGTTTTATCCTGAACTAACAGATTTATTGGAGAAGACAAAGGATTTCACATGTGTAGTTCTAATCCAATAAATACTACAGCAACAGATTACATTTACCCAGGGGTTCCTTCCTATAGATTTTTGTCTCCTCCAGATCAACTATGTTGCCATCCTTGGGGCTTTCCCTCCAGGTGGCCATATCAAATAGACATCTTGTCTGTCTCCTCTAATAATCCTAAACAGTTAACTCTCTAAAAGAGCGGGTCTCCCTTCTCAGAAGAAGACATTGATACAGCCAACAAACATATGAAAAAAAGCTCAACATCACTGATCATTAGAGAAACACGAATCAAAACCACAATGAGATATCATCTCACGTCAGTCAGAATAGCGATTATTAAAAAGTCAAGAAACAACAGATGCTGGCAAGGCTGTGGAGAAACACGAATGCTTTTACACTGTCAGTAGGAGTATAAATTAGTTCAACCATTGCAGAAGACAGTGTGGGAATTCCTCAAGGATCTAGAAACAGAAATACCATTTGACCCAGCAATCCCATTACTGAGGGTATACCCTAAGGAATATAAATCATTCTACTATAAAAACATATGCACACGTATGTTTACTGTAGCACTATTTACAACACCAAAGACTTGGAACCAACTCAAAAGCCCATCAATGACAGACTGCTTAAAGAAAATGTGGCACATATACACTATGGAATATTATGCAGCCATAAAAAAGAATGAGTTCATGTTCTTTGCAGGGGCATGAATGAAGCTGGAAGCCATCATTCTCAGCAAACTGACACAGGAACAGAAAACTACTGCATGTTCTCACTCATAAGTGGGAGCTGAACAATGAGAACACATGGACACTGGACACAGGGACAGGGACATCACACACCGGGGCCTGTTGGGGAGGGGGACAAGGGGGGGGGATAGCTAATGCATGTGGGGCTTAAAACCTACATGATGGGTTAATAAGTGCAGCAAACCACTATGGCACATGTATATCTACATAACAAACCTGCACATTCTGCACATGTATCCTGGAACTTAAAATTTAAAAAAAAAAATTAAAAAAAAAAAAAAAAAAAAAAAAAAAAAAAAAAAAAAAAAAAAAAAAAAAAAAAAAGAGTGGGTCTCAACCTTGGTTGCACATTAGAATCACCTTGCTTCAGGAGTAACCTAGTCAAAACTTTCCTCCCAACAACTGTGATTAATTGTGATTAGTACTGGGCTCAAACTCCTGAGCTCAAGAGATCCTCCTGTCTCAGCCTCCCAGGTAGCAGGGACTATGGATGCTTGCCAGTGTGCCCAGCTTTATAATTCAACATTTAAAGTACACAATTTGGTTTTTTTTTTTTTTTTTGAGACAGAGTCTCACTATTGCCCAGGATGCAGTGCAGTGCTGCAATCTCAGCTCTCTGTAACCTCTGCAGAGGTTGAAGCAATTCTCAGGCCTCAGCCACTTGAGTAGCTGGGACTACAGGTGCGTGCCACCACACTCAGCTAATTTTTGTATTTACTTGAGATGGGGTTTCTCCATGTTGGCCAAGCTGGGCTTGAACTCCTGGCTCAACTGATCTGCCTACCTTGACCTCCCAAAGTGCTGGGATTACAGGCATAAGCCACCAAACCTAGCCTACAATTCAGTGATATTTTATGTATTGATAGAATTGCACAACCATCACTACAATTAATTTTAGAATACTTTCATCACCCCCCAAAAGCAACCCCTAACCAACAGGTGGTGATTCTCCATTTTCCCCAAATCTCCCCCATCCCGTGGCAACTACTAATCTACTTTGTCTCTATAAATTTGCCTATTCTGGACATTGCTTGTTATAGGTAAATTTTCAGTGCCACAAAGAAGTAACATATAAATTTAATTTAACATTAATTTTTCTCAGCAAGGCAACTTTATGCAGAAAGGGTGCTTCCGTTAGCCATCTTGCCACAAGAGGACACTGAACAAAGGAGGCAGGGCCATTTATACCTAACGCATCCACCCTACTGCTGTGTCCTGATTCTATTGGCTGCAACTAGACTTCACAGTCTAGGCTGTACCTGACTGGCTAACAACCAAAAGCTTTTCTAAAGAAGTAAAGGCAGAGGAGAACAAAGGAAAAGTAGAAGTAACTTGAGAAATGCTTAGAGAAGCAATAACATTTCCAAATAAGAAAGTGGAAAAAGCTATGACCTAAGACTTGCCTGGGCTTGTCTATGCATGTCAGGGCCAATATCTAGTTAAAGTGTAAGAACTAAGAACACAGGATACATTTCTTTCTTTGTTATGACTAACAGCTACTTTAAGATTATTAGCAAAAGCTTTAAAGAAAATTAACCTTGGAAGAAAAAAATTATTTTTCATAATGAACTAAGAGGAAAGCTTTGAAGAGGAACATTTTATTTATTCTTATTTCCTACATCGCTCATAAATACAAACACACAATATACCATCTTGATAACCGGCTTCTTTCATTTAGCATAATGCCTTCAAGGTTTATTCATGTTGAAACATGTATTAGTACTTCATTCCTTTTTACTGCCAAATAGTATTCCATTGCATGGACATACCACATTTTACGTATCCATTCATCAGTGGATGGGCACTTGGATTATTGCCACTTTTTGGCTATTAGTTTTAAAAGTTGCCATGAACATTCCTGCACAAGTTTTTGTGAGAGTATATATTTCCATTTCTCTTCGGTATATACCTAGGAGTGGAACTGCTGGGTCATATGATAACCCTATGCTTAATCTTTTGAGGAACTGCCAGACTGTTTTCCAAAGCAACTATACCATTTCACATTCCCACCAGCAATGTATAAAGATTCCGATTTTTCCCACATCCTCGCCAACACTTGTTACTATCTTTCTTATTACAGCCACTGTAGTGGCCCGCCCTTTTAAAGCTATTATAGAAAAAAATTAAAACACAAAAATAGTAAACTTCCTTATACCCATCAACCAGCCCCAACAATTTGCATGTCATAGCCAACGCTGTTTCATCTACATTCCTATTTTTCTCTATCAACCAATATGCTTATTTTGAAGCATAGCCAAGATATTGCTTAATTTTTTCACAACTTTTAAATTTGTGTTTGTTTAAATAGAATCCAAATAAGGTCTCTACTTGATGATGATTAATATGCCTTCTAAATCTCTTTTCATCTACAGGTTGCCCCTCCATCTCATTTTTTTTTTTCTTATAATCTCTTTGTTGAAGATTCTGAATTATTTAACTTGTAAAGCAGTGTTACTCAAGCTTAAAACTTACATATGATGACAAAAGTGCAAAGCAGAAATAAAAAATGCACTTGAAACACCTGGAAAGCTTGTTAAAATATAGATTCTGATTTAATAGGTCTGCAATGGGCCTGAGAGTCTCTATTTCTAAAAAGCTCGTGGTTGTTTCTGATGTTGATTCTGACTAAACTCAAAGTAGCAGGGCTATGGTTTCCTACAGAACACATTTTACTGACTGAATCCCCATGATATCATTTAACATACTTCTTTGTCCTCTGTATTTCCTGTAAATTCAAAGTTCCAAGGGTTTGATTTCCTGCAAATTCAAAGTTCCAAGATTGAGGTGCCAATATTTTCATGGCTAGATTACTATATACTCTTCATCAAGAAGTATTTAAAGTCTGGTATCTCTGTCTGAAATATCTGCAGTCTTGATG